TGTTCTTTGATGGCTCCATTTTGTAGGTGCATTGTTAGGCGTCTTGACAGGGTATAAAAAACACTTACCTGCTGGCAAATGATTCATCAGAGATCTAGTAGACCTAGTCCGCCTAGCCTGCTAGTAAAGTTGCGTTGTAAACACGCGTACTTGTAAGTTGTAACGTTATTATTAGGCCTATACATACGATTGTTAACAACCGGTTCGTGGAGGTCATTAAATTCTAAGAACAGGTTCGCACGAGCCGGTGCGAACCGGCTGAATCCCACCACTGCCTTTCATTGTCTGCAGCCAGTTATGAGAAGGCAGTTACCCATAAATTTCTGATACAACCTTAAAGTAGAAATGAAACCACCCTAACATTTCTACAATGTAAAAACCCCCCTTTTATTTACAAAAAAATAAATAAAAATTAAATAGCACTAAGTGATCTTAAACAGAATTTACACATATGACAACGATAACTTATTGGTGAACAAATTATGTTGAAATAAATATTGTTACGACAGCGGAAGTCACGAGACGCTGCTTGCGCATGCGTGACTGAGTTTCTCGAATTATCAGGAAATTCCTCGAATTTTGTCGAAGCCTCTTTGTTAATATATAAGCCTGGCGAGAAAAACCAGCGGACGATCATGGATGTATGATAGTTAAGCGAACAGTAGTTACGGTTTTTCGGGTAATATAAAGTGTGTGTTTTGTACTCGTAGAAAGCGAACTTATCGAGGTTGTGAATCGTTGTGATTTATAGCATGTATTATAAAAGTCGTTAAGTTGAAAGTGATGAGAAACTTACTGACTGTGGAATTACTGTGTACTAAAAGTTTGTATCGAGAAAGAATAAACTGGTTTAATCAAGGAGGGACTTGTTTCACTGAAGTTCCTCGGAAAGAATTTATACCGGAAATTATCAAACAAGCAGATACGCAACAATATTCATGCCGTTTGTTTGTTTGTATGTAATTAAGCACAAAGCTACACAATGAGCTATCTGTGCTCTGCCCACCATGGGTATCGAAACCCGGTTTCTAGCATTGTAAGTCCTCAGACATACCGCTGTGCCACTGGGGGGGGGGGGCATATTCATGATGACGATAACTTATTGGTGAACAAATTATGTTTAAATAAATATTCACGCAAGTTTTAAAATAAACTGGATACTATCCGCTCATTACTTATTTTAATCACTTGCCCCCTCCCTGGAAAGTGAAAAACATAATTCTTTATTTATTCATTCAGCTCATGCTAAGAGCTATTCACTTAATTTATAGTTTCCATTTCACTGAATTTAAGCAGAAAACAATGCAATGTTGACCTGGCATGGTCTGGTGGTTAGGGCACTCAACTCGTAATCTGGGAGTCGTGGGATTGAACCTCGTCACAAAAAATGCTTGCCTTTTGGCAAAGAATTGGAGGTGGGTGGTATTTACTAGCTGTCTATCACTTTAAAATTAAAGATGGCTAGAACAGATAGCCTTCAAAATAGCTTAACACAAATGAAAAAAAAAACTCGACTTGGACCCTAAAATGTTCATCGATTTCTCGTGGTGGCTATGATAGTACCTTAAAACTTTGTTTTAATTTATTTAGTGTCTAACAAATTCGGCTAACTTAAAAAAACTACTGAATAAAACAAGATATGTTAATTTTGTTTAACTCTGGTCACTTGCGCAAACTAATGTTGTTACAGTCACTATAATTATCCTTATGCTTGTTCTATTTGATCATCCAGTAAAACTAATGCAAAGACTAGCTCAGTTAAAGAAAGAAAGGCGTTTTATTTCTTCAACTATAAGTTCTACAACTTACATGGTTTCATGAACTAATGATAGGCCTAACTCACAAAAAAGTATAATTATTAAACAAACACCTGTTAAATTTCCTCTTGTATCTACGGCATAAACTTAAAAATGCACAGCTCTGAACTGATTTACAAAGTAACTCATTAATCAACTGACCAAGTAACTAACTCACTTGTGGTTTTGTATTATTACAACATTTTTAAAAACTTCTAGACAATTCTAACTAATAATACAAAACGTCTAAATTAAAATATTGAAAATATAGCCTGCGAAAATAAATTTCATTTCAGACTGCATTTTGCCAATAACATGATTTTATTTTTGAAACTTTAACCACAGTTTTCAAGTTCTGTTGACAAAAAATTATGTTTTTATTACTTTTTGTTGTAGTCAGCATAAAAACTACAAAAGTGGCTATCTGTGCTGTGCCCACCATGAATATCTAAACCCGTTTTCAGAGTTATAAGCATTTAGACTTGCCGCTGAGCCACTAGGGGGCTTTTTTCAAAAACGATTATTTAATAACTTTAAACCGTTATACATGAAATAACACAAGATCAAATTCGTCTCACACTCGTAATGAAAAAAATAAATAAATAAGATAAAGTAGAAGAAGAAGGCTATTTCAAACACATTTTTCTGTTTTAAAACAGAAGTACCTTGGAAATACCAAATCAATGTATATATGTGTAACTTGCAAATTTTTATTCTCTGTGACAAAGTTTGTTTGTTTGTTTTTGAATTTCGCGCAAAGCTACACGAGGGCTATCTGCGCTAGCCGTCCCTAATTTAGCAGTGTAAGACTAGAGGGAAGGCAGCTAGTCAACTCTTGGGCTACTCTTTTACCAACGAATAGTGGGATTGACCGTCACATTATAACGCCCCCACGGCTGAAAGGGCGAGCATGTTTGGTGGGACGGGGATTCGAACCCACGACCCTCAGATTGCGAGTCGAGTGCCTTATCCATCTGGCCATGCCGGGCCGTTCTGTGACAACTGTTTACTCCAAGTATTTTACCAGCAAGATGATAAGGCAGTTTTTGCGTGATAACTATTATAGTTAATTCACTGAGAAAGATTCTCTTTCAAGGCGGCTATGAACACTTGGTTTTGTTTCAGTTTTTTTTCCAGTTGTAACAAGTTTGAAATTAATGTATTAG